GCTTTGAAAATCTGCTTTGTGGGTTAAAAAAAAAAAAAAAAAAGAGCATAAAGATTGCAAATGTTGAATTTGAGTGAGGGGTGATGAGAGAGAGGAGCTTGGAGGGCCAAGATCAGCACTGGTTGCCCTCCCCCATTTCAAACAGTCATCACCACCGAGGTGATGAAACTGTTGGGTTCATTATAAGGCTTTTCAAATTTGTTTGTAATGACAATCCAAACATTGCTTTGGATTATGGGGAATTCCTTCACCTGGTGACGGATTTGGGGAATGAATTAACACCTGGCGTTGCTCCAGGCGCTTCCTTGGAGAGGAATTCTCTTCTTTGCAGCCTGATCATCTCTGTGTGTTGCAGATTCACTCCCATCCCTGCAAGATGTCCTGCTACGACCTGTCCCCCAGCTCTGCCTGCGGCGTCCTCCGCCCCCAGCCCCTGGCTGAGAGCGGCAACGAGCCCTGTGTGCGGCAGTGCCCCGACTCCACCACTGTGATCCAGCCACCCCCCGTGGTTGTCACCTTCCCCGGGCCCATCCTCAGCTCCTTCCCTCAGGATTCAGTCGTGGGATCCTCCGGAGCCCCCGTCCTTGGAGGCTATGGGGGATATGGATCCCTGGGTTATGGGGGATATGGATCCCTTGGCTATGGGGGATATGGATCCCTGGGTTATGGGGGTCTGTGGGGTTATGGGGGTTCCTCCCTGGGTTATGGGGGTCTGTGGGGCTATGGGGGCTCCCGGGGTCTGTATGGCTATGGCAGATCCTTTGGCTCTTGCAGCCCTTACTCCTGGTACGGCAGGTACGGCCGTGGCAGCTGCTGGTCCTGCTGAACAGAGCAGGAAAAGCCACGGAATGATGGAGAAGTGAGAAGCAAAATGCAGCTTCCCCCCGTGGCAGCACTAGCAGAGCCTGTTCAGTGCCCCCTGTGCATGTTCCACACCTCCCCCTCTTTATTTTTGCCCATTTGAATTCTTTCCTGGTGTTTTCCCGGGTTTAGTTCCTTTGTAATCTTCTTTATCCCACCTGTTGACTGAAGGCAGGGAGAGATTCCATGGTGTCTTTCCCGCTGCCTTCGCCTCTGACATCCTGGATTTGCATTCTTGGTGTCACAGTGTGGTTTTGCTCTTTTCCTTCTCATTAAAGCTCTGTTGCATCATTTAAAACATGTGTGTCATGGTTTTGTGTCCTCATCCCCCCCTGAATTTGCCAGCTCTGCTGTGCCTGTGGCTGCACTGATGTGGTGCAAACCCAGTATTCCCTCTAACCCTGCCCTCAGGCAGTTTGAAGCCATCCCCCCTTGTCCTGTCACTCCAGGCCCTTGTCCAAAGTCTCCCCCTCATGTTCCTTTAACCCCCTGCAGGTCCTGGCAGGTCACAATCAGGTCACCCCAAAGCTTCTCTCCTCCACACCGAGCAACCCCAGCTCTCTCAGCCTTTCACAGACTGAGTTCCTGGGTTTGGGACTTCCTTGGTTCTGTTGAAATTGTTCACATATATTAAATATAAACAGAATTGGTGTCAGTATTTTATGAAGAGCCCAAACCCAAACAAAAGCACTGCACCATACATGACATATCTCTTTTAGGTTGTCAGCAAAGCAAAAAAACCAACTCCTGACTCAGGCAGATCTTTATCCCACGAGACACTTTTCTTTAAGTGTCTTAAGCCAAAAGATCTCAGGGCACACATTTTCCTGCAGTGAGAAGAAAGGCTGAACTGAATCATGTCTGGAGTTCATCACCACCAGAAACTGAGGGTAAAATATGAATAAAGAGAGGCAAGAGCTGCCACACGTGCCCAGCCCCACCCTTTGTAACAGGACATTGCACACAACACAAACCTCAGTGTCCATCACAGAAAGAGTCAGCTACAAATCTACCTTTAATTTGGTTTTATTTAATTACCTCTAATTGAACAGCATTCCCAGCAAGACCCACAAGCTTCCCCAGTGGGGAAACAGCCAGAAGGGGTGCTCTACCTCCTGCCAGGACCTGAAAACCTGTAAGACAATCTCTTGTGGTGAGGAGAAGAGTAACAAAAGCCCGTGTGTGACACAAAGAGCCCCGGGTGTTAACGGAGCTCCTGCCCTTCCTCCTTTCCCGGGGGAAGGCACTGAGAGCCTGGGCTGGCAAGGTGATGACAGGGGAGGGTGGCTGAGCCACCACCCTCTCAGGTCAGGGCAACTGGGGCTGCTCAGGAATTGGTCATCAGGAAACACGACTGAGCGTTGATGGAACACAGCAGGAACTTGTGGGGAACAGCAGGAAAAGCTTCAATCTTGTGGAAATGGGAAAGTCCTGTGTCCAGGGCTGGGCCCCTCAGGGGCAAGAGGGACACGGAGGGGCTGGAGCGTGGCCAGAGAAGGGAATGGGGCTGGAGCAGCAGGAGGAGGGGCTGGAGAAACTCCTGAGGGAGCTGGGGGGGGCTCATCCTGGAGAAAAGGAGGCTTGAGGGGACCTTCTGGCTCTGGAATTCCCTTACAGGAGGGGGGAGCCGGGTGAGGGTCAGGATCTGCTCCCAGGTAATGACACAGGACAAGAGGGAACAGCCTCCAGCTGTGCCAGGGGAGGGTCAGGTTGGCCATCAGGAGGAATTTCCCCATGGAAAGGGTGGTGAGGCCTTGGCAAGGGCTGCCCAGGGAGGTGGGGGAGTCCCCACCCCTGGAGGTGCCCAAGGAAGGACACTGAGTGCTCTGGGGTGGGTGACAAGGTGGGGATGGGGCACAGGGGGGACTGGATGACCTTAGAGGGCTTTTCCAACCTCAGGGATTCTGGGATGGGGTTGTGTGAAACTCGAGGCAGTTTTGAGGAGGGATTTATGCATTTCCCCGACCTGCCTGAGGTCTCCCCGTGAACACCAGCCCGCATTTCTCGCTCCTGAGTCGCCTCCAAGTGATGAAAGGGTTTTGCTCAATATTTCTGTTTATTATGAGTTGATTCAAATTCTGACGCTGCACGAAATGCAAATTACCAAACAAATATTTCTTTCATCTTAGCCCTTAATTGGCAAGGTTCATTCCTGGTAACATTCCATCAAATACATTTGGAATGACAGGGGGAATTATGCTGCTTCATTTATTTACCTCTTCCTTTATTGGTTGACATAATGATGGTGGCTCAAGTGTTAATCATAATTATCATCTGCTTTAAGGTGCAGGTTTTCTTCCTTTCTTCCTCACCCATGGCAGATAAAACAGAAGTGATAAAAAACTCACAGTGTCTTTCTTGTGAAATCAGCAACTTTTATATGAAGCTGGAATTCAAAGTTGGACCAGAACACTGGGCACTTTTCAGAGGAAAAATCAAAAGATACGTTACAAAGCACTTTTTAAAACCATCCAGATACATGTTTTTGTCTCTCAAATGTTTAGGCAGATCTTGATATCTTTGTACTGCAGAGAAAATGTGAATTAATACCTCAGCCCTAAAGGAGCTTACACAGAAACCTACAAAAATAAATGAAAACTTCAATTATGCAGGAAAATCAACTGAAACCCTGAGCTTCAAAACCATCAGCTGGTGAAGGGAACAGGAAGAGTTCACGATTTAATAACTGCATTTCAAAACGTTGGGCTGTTTGAACCCAACCACATATTTACCTGACAATAATGACACCTCACTTCATGTGTAAATTATTAAGGAGGGTTTGGGAAGTGCTTAAAAACACACACACAAAAAGTTATTTGGACACTCATTGTGAGTATTATTCTTCCTGTCATCCCTTGGGGACATCTCAAAGTCTGGGAAAAAGGAACCTCCTAATTTTAAGTGGTAGAAATGTGTTGATTTAGAAAACCATTCAGAAATTTTTATTTAGAAATTGTGGTAGAAACATGTTTATTTACCAAACAACCAAACAACCAACCCACCCACAGGTAAATGAGGATTTCTGGGGTGGGACAGTTCTCATCAAACCTCGCCTGTTTACAAGCTGGGGCTTTCAGCTGAGCTGGTTTTGTGTCCCCACAGCCAACAAAAGCAAAATCGGGGTGTTTTTTGGGTGTGTGATGCCAATTCTGGCAAGGTCAGCACCTGAGATGGGGTGAATTGTCTTGCAGAACCTCCTGTCCCTCCCCACTGAGTGCCTGGGGAAGGCTCAGCAATTCCCAGTGGTGGACAAAAAATGGAGAATCTCATAAAATTTGCCCATGTTTCACCTCTCTGAAGGTTGTGGGGAGACCTCAGAGCACCTCCCGGGGTCTGAAGGGGCTGCAGGGAAGCTGGAGAGGGATGTTCATCAGGAACTGGGGTGACAGGACAAGGAGGGGTGGGATCAGACTGACAGAGGGGGAATTTAGGGTGGATATTGGGAAGAAATTGTCCCCTGTGAGGGTGGGAAGGGACTGGAATGGAATTCCCAGAGAAGCTGTGGCTGTCCCATCCCTGGAAGTGTCCAAGGCCAGGTTGGATGGGGCTTGGAGCAACCTGGGCTAGTGGAAGGTGCAATGGGATGATCTTTAGGGTCTTTCCAACCCAAAGCATTCCACGTTTCTGTGATTTTCCTGTCCTCCTTTGGAGCCGTGGGATCCCCACACGGAGTTGTGAGGAACCACCAACGTTTGCATTTGCATCAGGAGGAATTTCCTCCTGGAAAGGGTGGTCAGGGTCTTGGCAGGGGCTGCCCAGGGAGGTTCGGGGAGTTCCCACCCCTGGAGGTGTCCAAGGAAGTGGCACTGAGTGCTCTGGGCTGGGGATGGGGCACAGGGCGGGCTGGATGATCCCGGAGGGCTTTTCCAACTTCAACAATCCTGGGAAAGAAAATACCGATATCCCCTTCAGAGAAAACTTCGCCCTGTGGTTTAAACAGGTTCAGCTACTAAAATATCCTCTCTGCACCAAAGAAAACCCGGGAATTTCCAAATCAAAACCCCCAACTGGCAATGCCCACGGCTGCCAAAACACCGGGGGTTCGTGGCTGCGAGAAGCATCAGGAGGTTTTTGCGCCTCGCCGAGCGTTTCGTTGCAAAATGCGCGAGCTGATGAGATCACAGCGAGATCTGAAAGCGTTTAAACCCCAAACATGTCCACGGCAGCAGCTTCCAGCGCCGATTAAAATCGTTAGGCGAGCTTAATGAGGAAGGAAGTGCTAAGTAAATAGAGGGAGGTTTCATCCCTGCTGCAACGAGCTGGGGCGGGGACGATCGCAGCGAGTGAAAACTGGTCAATTAGGGCTCCGAGATGAAAGGGAAGCGGGAGGTGGAATGTGCAGCTTGTGCTCCGTCAGAGATTTTTGGGTGATTTTGCAAACTGCAAGCAACAAGGGTTGCATCACTCTGGGGAGGTAAATCCTGTGGCTCAGCCCCCCCCCCCTTCTCTTCCCCCCTCAGGCCATCTCAAGTGCTGTATAAAAGCAGCAGCTTCACTGAGTTGTTCCATCTCACTCTCCTGCTTCTCATCTCCACATCAGGTAAGTTTGATGCCATTTGGTTTCCTTCTGGGTACCACGATGCCTGAGTTTTATTCTTTTGAGTCCAGAGCTTGGGATTCTGGTCACTGGCACTGCACTGCTGGGTTTAGGATGAAGGGTTAATTTATTTTTTATTTTATTTCTGGAGTCTCTTGGCAAGTTGTGTCACTTCAGGAGCCAAGATCAGGGCTTGAGGCATTTATTTTAAATAATATGGATTATTATTAAACAGCATATAAGACTCTCATATTTCTTATTATTTCCCTGGAATTCATATTTGGCCATTCCTGTACTGGTAGGAGACTGAAAGTGTAGGATGGAATAAGCTTTAAAATGCAAAATTCTCCTGCCCCACTTCAGTTCACTGACGTGGCTATATCCTAAATTCTTCAATGACCCACCTGAAGAAAGAGCTTATTTTAAACCTACTTACTTTTACCACAGTCAATCTGAAGGCAAGTAAACTGGTGGTCTGATCCAGTGAAGAAAATAAAATTTCCACCTTTTTTTACTGGGAAAAAATGTTAACCCAGCAGCTTCCATGACCAGACATTCAACTGAAATGGTTTGCCAGCTGTATTTTTTTATTATTATTTTTTATTTTATATTTTAATAATTTTTATTTTTATCTGATGAAGGAAATGTGCTCCTTGCGTTTTACCCACCTGCTCCACAGCCTGTATGAAATTATGCTGCTTGTGCCCAGAAATATTTGGATAGAAATATTTTATGGGGTGTCTTTACTGATTATATCAAATACAGGAATTATGTTCAGGCTTAAAGGCTGTGGGGCTTTACCAGAGGGATGACTGAGATCAGGAGAATGTGGGTCTAAAATGGAACCCCAAAGAGCTTGAAAAGAAACAGGGACCAAGAAAGGAGGAGGAAATGTGGGGTTAAATCAGTGCTGGGTTCTTGTTTCCATCCCATCCCACCTCTCCCAAGACAAAACCTGCTTCTGTCCCATTGGGTGGAACAGAATTCCAGAGTACTCTGAGCTGGAAGGGACCCACAAGGATCATCCAACCCAACCCTCAGCCCTGCACAGGATCATCCCCTGTGCCCCAGAGGATCATCCAAACCCTCCTGGAGCTCTGGCAGCCTTGGGGCTGTGCCCACTGCCCTGGGGAGCCTGTTCAGTGCCAACCACCCTCTGGGGGAAGAACCTTTTGCTGAGATCCAACCTGAGCCTGCCCTGACACAGCTCCAGCCATTCCCTGGGGGCTGTCCCTGGTCCCCAAAGAGCAGAGCTCAGTCCTGCCCCTCCTCTGCCCCTTTGGTGGGGGGCGGGCAGCTGGAACTGCAGTGAGGTCTCCCCTCAGCCTCCTCTTCTCCACCTGAACACACCTCAACTCTCCCTCTCTCTCTCTCTCTCTTTTTCAGCACCACCTCCCTCCCCGCAAACCAAGAATGGCCTGCTACGACCTGTGCCCCACCACCCCCGGCATCTCCTGCCCCCAGCCCGTCGCCAACAGCTGCAACGAGCCGTGCGCCCGCCAGTGCCCCGACTCCACCGCGCTCATCCAACCACCCCCCGTCGTCGTCACCTTCCCCGGCCCCATCCTCAGCTCCTTCCCCCAGCAAGCCGTGGTGGGCTCCGCCGGAGCCCCCGCCTTTGGGGGCTCCCTGGGGCTGGGGGGGCTCTACGGGGGCTCCCTGGGATACGGAACCCAGTATGGATATGGGAGTCCAGCCCTGTCCGCGCTCGGCAGCGGCTCCTGCGGCCCCTTCTCGTCCCGCCGCTACAGCCGCGTCTTCCGCAACGTCTGCGGGCCCTGTTAAAAACACGGGGCGGGATTTCCAACAGCCCCAGTGAAGACCCAAATCCCGAGCAGTGAGGGCGAGGGCTCAGCCTTCCTGCAGCCCTGCAACGGAGCTCCCGCCCCTTCGTCTTTCTCGCCTCTCTCCTGCTTTTTAGTCAATCCCTCAGCGCCTTCTTGTCGCTGTTGTCGCCTGTTCCGGCTTTCCCGGTGTTTTTTGAGCCGTTATTGGCTGTGGACGCCACCTGCAGTGACAGGTACCTGCATCAACAGCTGCACAACAGCCAGAAGAAGCCGGCTGAGGACAGGGATATCTCAGAGAAGGACATTTATTGATCGTGCCCTGAAATTGTCTGGAGAGACAACTATTTTTTCTTTCGTGCTCTGTGATATCTCGCTTTGCAAACAAGCACTTCTTGCTCATTAAAACTTGTTGCATCACACAGCAGCCTCTGGTTTTCCATCTTCCCTTCAGCCACAGCCTGTCCTGGGTGGGACCTTCCCGAAAATCAGGGCCAAGCTGCTCCCTGAGCAGTAGAACCCCGAAACCCTTCAGCACTGATTTTACACGGTGTTAAAACGTTCCTGTAATGAAAAACCTGAGTGGCAGCTTTGAAGATATCAAAAGTTTAAAATAACAGAATCCCAGAATCTCTGAGGTTGGAAAAACCCCTCCAGGGTCATCAAGTCCAACCTTTGACCCATCTCCACCTCATCCCCCAGCCCAGAGCACTGAGGGCCACAGTATCTTCACTCATGTCATTTAAACATGATTTCAGTGGGGCCTTGCCAAACAATCTCTGAAAATGAGATAATTTAGTCAAATTGGCATGTTTTCAGGGAGTTCTGATTTTAGGTGGAGGGTGATGTGTGGCATGGGCAGAGTATGGGTTATTTTACAGGTCATGGGATGATGGAATCAAGGAATGCTTTGCATTGGAAGGGGCTTCCAAAGCTCATCTAGTCCAACCCCTCTGCCATGGGCCTGATCTTCCACCAGATCAGGATGCTCAAAAACCAGTTCCAAACAACTTCCAAACATCCCAGAAAGGATTCCAGACACGGTTTTGTTAAATTATTGTTTTCTAAGTTAAAGGGGAGAACGAGCATAAATTTAAAAAAAAAAAAAAAATCCTTTTTTCATTTTCTAAATAACTGCAGAAAAGCACAGAAACACCAGGTTTTATTTCAGAAATAAATAACCAGAAGAGGACAGAATCGCTGCTTTGCATGGATTTAGTGCCATCCTGTGCTGGTTCTGCACCCCTTGGTCTCATTCCAGCTGCGGGAGGCAACTCGTTATTCCAGCTTTAAGGAAGGGCTGAGGCTGAGCAGTGAATGTGTTGCCCAGAGCTATTTGGTGAGGTGGCAGGAGACACAATTCTGACACAAGCCTGATGTTGTTCCTGCTCCTGTTACTCCTCGACCTTTCCATCACCACACTCGGGCTCCCCTGTGGGTTCCCAACAGATAAAAGGCACCAGGGGGGTAAATAGGACAATCAGCAGCCCCTCAGGTTGTGACCCTTTAGCACAGGATTGCACAGCCCTCCTGTCAGCATCATCAGGCTGTGCCAGGGGAGGGTCAGGTGGGAATGTTTTTCTGTCTCCAGTGGTTTTCCAGCAGTGAAAAACGGTGCAGCACAAGGTTTAAAGCAGGGATAGAACCTGGGAGAGCTCGTTGCTGAGCAGGGGGCTGAGAGGGTGGGTGGGTTTGCTCACTCCCCTCTCACTTCAGGGCTGAAACAGGGTGGAAACACCAGCACTCCACCCAGGAGAGTTTCTCAGTTGTGCTATTTCATCAAAGCAAGCCCAGAACACTCAAATTGTGATGCAATCTGATTTTTTTTAATGAGGGAGAGAGGGAGAAAGGTCACAAAAAGTTACAGAAAATGAGGCTTTGAGGCTTTTACAGGGTTGATCTCTGGTTTCAGGAAGCTTCATTCCAAGCAGTGTTCTTTTCTTCTTCTCCAAGTGTCACCCTCCCCCTGCAGTCCAGTTCTCATAACTCTTGGTTGACACCAGGCAGCTTCAAGGGGGAGAAATCACAGGGTACAAACTCCTCCATTGTGCTCCCCTGGATAATGGTATTAGTTGGGATGTAGGAGGAATATTAATGCAGTTGAAATTTGGACCACGAGAAGAACAGAAGAACACATTTCTAGCTAAGAAAGGAGGCACAAGAAACGGGTACAAGCACAAACACAATCAAGTGGTAGCAAGAAATCAGCCCTTTTTTTCTTTTTTTTTTTCATGGCAGGATTTTAAAAAGCCGCTTCAATCTTGAGATTGGATCTTGCATTCGGCATCCTGGCTGCTCCTGCTGGAGAAACAAAACTCCTGCTGGCTTTGGGAGGGCTCACACCTCCTGGATCTGTAGCCACTGACCCTCGGGGAGCAATAAGGAGATGAGAACTTGCTTCCCTGAGACGCCCCATAACAAAAAGAGCCTCTGGAGCTGTAAGATCCCCCAAAACTGAGCGGGGCCCCGAGGGCAGCCGGCGCCGAGGATCCCACCACGCTTTCCTGAGGGCAGGAGCTGAGGATCGGCCCGGGGAAAGTGATGACCACGGGGGGTGGGTAGATCACTGCCCGGGAGTCCCCGCAGGAGGTGACACAGGGCTCGTTCCAGGCGTCGGCGACGGGCTGAGGGCAGGACACGAGTCCAGGCGGGGAGCAGGCGGAGCTGCAGATCTGCCTGTAGGAGGACATGGTGGCCGCAGTGGAAGTGGCTCTGAAAACGCAAGGAACACGAGGCTTTGAGTGGCATTACGGGCTTGAGTTGAAAGGAATGATCCAAGTCCGACCCCTGGACCTGCAAGGACGCCCCACCGGTCCCATCGTGGCCCCCCTCGGGAGGAACCTGCAGACCCCAAGGATCTCCCCCCCGCCCCCAGGATCATTTTAGAGCAACTCAGTGGTAGGGCAGGACTTCCAGAACTTTGTGGACAGTTCAGTGGAAGGACAGGGTTTGTAGAGACACCTTCAAACCTGAGCTTGCCCTCCCACTAAAGCCAAGATGAGGCTGCAACTCGTTCCTGTACCAGCCTTGGGAACTAAGGGCTGGGAATCCTGGAAGGATTCCCTCAGGAAGCTGGAGAATCCCAGCCCTGAGCTCTCTGCAGGATCAGCAAAGGTGCTTTAGCAGCCACTTTAAGTCCCCCAGCAGAGTCTCAGGTAGGGTTCAGTTAATTATCATTAAAAGAGAGTGTAAAAAAAAAAAGGTGCAAAGGATCAAAAACTTACTTGAGTCCCCGAGGAGAAGTGAGGAGAAGCTGTTGGGATGGGTGTGAGTGGCACAGGCTTTTATACTCCTGCTGGGAGTGTCTGGAGCATCTGAGCCACCCCTTTGCACGTGCTTGTTTTGATCAGATTCCGAAAAGCAGCGATTACACACAACCACTCACCTTTCAGAATCACCAGCTGCAATTATTGGGCAATTCCCAGCTTTCCATCACACCTGGATACGTCACCCCCTTTAAATTTGTAGTCACAGCCGGGCTCATCAGATTTTATTCAGCCTCTCCAAACCCCTTCCCCAGGATTTATCCCTCTGCAGTTCAGTAAAACTAAAACCATCTGGTTAAAAAAACTGTGTTGTAGTTTATATCTTTTGTGGTTTAGAACTCACTCATAGATGGGGGAAAGGAATCAATAAATAGTCCTCAACTTTCCCTGGAATCCACTCCAGTACAGGAGACATGCAGAGGGGGGGAAACTCCAGCTTTTTTTGTTATTTTTGCCCTCTCAGAGGATTTTCCAGGGCAAGACCTTGAGTAGCAGCCACCTGATGGCAGCAGGGTTTGATTCCTTGATCAATACACAATCAATCCCATTGGTGGGGGAGATGAAAGGATTCAGGCCCTCAGCAAGTGATTAATTACAGCAATAAATTCCACTGTGGAAGCACAGGATGGTGAAACCAGGTGCCTTAATGCTCCTTAAGGTGGAGAAGGATGTAAAATAATCACAAAAAAGCAAGGAGCTGGATTCATTCCCACTCAAAAGCGGCCCAGGGAGTGGACTGATACCAGGAAGGACCTGGTGAATCCTCAGCTGGGGGTGTTGTGACACACATGAGGAAATGGGGAGCACACCAGAGTCATCAGGGTTAAGTCAGAAAACTTCTTCCCATCAAAGTGAGCTGAATGTGCAACAAAAATCTGTTGGTGCAGCAGAAAATCCTCCTGAGCAAGGGCTTTCCACGGGCTGTTTGTAACCACCTGGGGTCTGTGTGTGTGGGGGAAAGGAGATCTCAGAGAGGCAGAGATGTGATGTTTGATGAGGTTTCATGGGGAAATGGTCAAGGATTGCACAGTGGGGAATGTTGTTTCCTCCTTGGAAGTGTCAGAGGGGTTGAGACCCACTGGAAAAACCTCTCTCAGGTCCTCTGCTGAGCTATATATATGCCTAAAGTATATAAAAGGAAAGTTTAAAGTGTATAAAGTTTTATATAAAAAAATCCTTGTGTAATGTCCAGGGCTATGGAACATTCAGGGTTTATATCAAGGCCTGGGATTTCCTTTTAACACCTTTTTTAATGCAAGAGATGAGTGACTGGGGATTATTTGGGCATCAGTAGGTTTGCAAAGCACACAAATAAGAGCAGAGAACATTGCATTGTGATGCAGAAAGGCTTTTATTGACAAATGGGATTTACCAGACAACAGCAACACTGCAGGGAACAACAGAGAGGATTTAAGTTAAATTTACACAGAGTAATTTGGGAGCAGAGGCAGGAACTGTGAGCAGAGACCAATTCCAAAAAAAAAGGGGGATGCAGAGTCTGGGCTGGTTCCTCGGGATGAAGGAGAGTTCCCAGCCTTCCCTTCCCTCAAAATTTGCGAATTTGCTCTTGTTTCTGCTGGATTTTGTCATCCAGGGAGCCCTTGCCGGGCTTGGCAGGGCGGTACATCCCGGAGTAGCGGGAATAGCAGGGGTAGGAATATCGGCCGTACAGGGAAGCGCCGCAATCCAAGGAGCTCTGAGCCACCCCAGAGCTCCCCCAGCCAAAGGAACCTCCCAGCCCCACGGGCATCGAGGTGCCCACCACGCTCTCCTGGGGGCAGGAGCTCAGGATGGGGCCCGGGAAGACGATGGACACGGGAGGAGGGTAGACCACGGCCCGGGAGTCCCCGCAGGAGGTGACACAGGGCTGGCTCCAGGCGTCGGCCACCGGCTGGGGACAGGTCACCTCGCAGGGAGAGAAGCTGCTGGAAGGGCACAGCTGCCTGTAGAAGGACATCCTGCTGGCTGGGATTGAGTCTGGAACACACACATAGAGGGGGGAGAACAGGGGGGTTGGCAAAGGGGAGCCTTGTGTAGTCAAAGCAAGAAGTTACCCTTGCAATCCCAGCGTGGTTTGGGCTGGAAGGGACCTCAAGGATCCTCTCCTTCCAAGGCCTGCCATGGATTAGGCTGTGCCAGATTAGGTGTTAGAAAGAAATTGCTCCCTGGGAGTGGGGACACCCTGGCACAGGTTAGTCCATGGATGTGCCTTCCCTGGAAGTGTCCAAGGCCAAGCTTGGGTGGGGCTTGGAGCAACCTGGGCTAGTGGAAGGTGTCCCTGCCCATGGCAGGAGGAGGAATGAGATGGGATTTAAGGTCCCTTCCAACACAAACCATTCCATGATTCCATGATTTCTCGAAGTCTGATGCTTCCCCTCTAAATCCCATTCCCTCCAAACTCTGACAGGATGAAAGAACCACCAGAATCCTTTTATTTTAATGAAAAGAAACATTTTACTAGTAACAGGCAAAGCCATGTGAAGTGCTCAGACATAAGCACATTAAACCCACCATTCAATGATTCTGTAAATCTCAATCTTTAAGCTCCCTTCCAACCCAAACCACTCCATGAATCCATAACTCTTATTAAAGTGGCTTTTAAGTCAGACTTACCCAGTTGAGCACCAAGGAGAAGCCAAGAGGAGTGGACTGAAGAGCTCTGTGCTTGGAGCACAGCAGGAGAGAGCTGAGATCCGAAGTGCTTTGAAGGCCCTGGGCTGCAGGTGCTTTTATACAGTTCCTCAGCTTGCCCCGGGGGAAGTGAACCTTTCCTGGCCTCCCTTGTGCCTCCTTGTCCCTCAAATACACTTTTTTTGCTCCTGTCACTCAATCAAGGTAATTGGGATTGTTGTTTCTCCTGAGTTACTCCACCTCAGATGGTTTTAAATCTCCATCACAGCCCGGAGACTCCGTGCCTGTCAAACAGGGAGGGTGATTTCCACCTTTGTTTTGACTCTGACAACTTTGCTGGGAGACAGAGGGAGATGAATCCTCAAATAAACTTTTCAGAATAGGTTGCTGTGTTATAACTTAGACAATATCTCCACCTGGACTGGTCATTTCTTGGTGTTTGCTGGTTTTTTCACAGGGTTATAAATGCCAAGACAGAGCTGGAGATCAACGTTTGCCCAAAGCCATGTTACAGAATCCTGGAATGGTTTGGGTTGGAAGGGACCTGAAAGATCATCTCATTTCACCCCCTGCCATGGGCAGGGACACTTTCCACTAGCCCAGGTTGCTCCAACATGGCCTTAGACACTTCCAGGGATGGGGTAGCCACAGCTTCTCTGGGCAGCCTGTGCCAGGCCCTCCCCACCCTCACAGCCAACAATTCCTTCCCAGTATCCCATCTAACCCTTCCCTCTGTCAGTCTGAACCCATTCCTCCTTTTCCTGTCCCTCCAGCCCTCATCCAAAGTCTCTCCCCACATTCTTTGTAGCCCCTTCAGGTCCTGGAAGACCCCAGTCAGGTCACCCCAAAAGCTTCTCTTCTCCAGGCTGAACAATCCCAAACTCTCCCAGCCTTTCTGATGGATCAGAGCTGCTCCATCCCCTCTGCTCAGCTCCTCTGGAGTGGCTCCAGCAGCTCCACATCCTCCCCTGGGCTGTTCCCCAGGGCTGGAGGGGGGTCTGAGGGGGTCTCAGCTGAGGGGGTAGAGAGGCAGAATCCCCCCGCTGCCCTCCTGCCACAGGGAGGGGGTTCTGGGCTGGGTCATGTCCAGCCTCTCCATCTCCTTTTCTGTTGCTTCCAGCTCTCCAGACAATGGTCCTTGACTCAGTGTCGGCGCAGGAGATGAAAGGATGTGCCAAGGGCTCCTCCCAGCTTTCCCTCTGAATCAACAAGTGCATTATTTTGCCTCAGACTTTTAATAATCCCATTAAGAAATCAACAATAAAAATTGCCCAATTCATTTGGGTGTTGGACAAATGAGTGGTTGTGTATAAAGGGGGTGAAAAAACAAGGATTTTGCATTGTCTTGAGATAAGGAAACACTAAGATTGAGAAATAATAATGGGAGGTATTAAACTGCTGTGATCACAATGCAAATGTGATTTCCAGGGAAGGAGTTACAGAGGATGAGATCATTTTGAGTCTGAGGGGGAAGAAAACTTTTGGGTGAGGACGAAGAAAAGAATGATTCAGAAGTTTGGGGGAAAAGTATTCAGCACAAAGCAGGCACCTGCTGATCCTTGTTTTCCTTTTGGAAGGACCACTCATTGCTCCCAACTCAGGAGAACCTGTGACTGGTACAGACCTTCCCTCTGAAAGGTGCTGAGCCCACAAAAAATGTTCTGGCAACCAGAAAACCCAGGGTTATTAAGCATTAAACCATATTTTTAATATTTAAATAAATTTTAAAATATATTTTATATATTATATATTTTTAATATTTTTATATATTTAAATATTTAAATTTATACCTTTATATATATATATTATATATATATTTATATATAAATACTTTCATATTGAGACATAAAAGCATTTTTTTTTCCCAGCAGGTCAAACCCTGCACTTTTCAAGCCCGTAACACCCACGTGAAACAGGGAATCACTGCTGATGATTTTCTAACAGAGATGATTAAGGCCAAATGATTTACCAACCATCCCTTGGCAATGAAATGAGCCTCTGGGAGGAGATCCCGGGCATGTCTTGTACTTGGGAGTGTTATTATTTATAATTATAATTCTATTATCTCTTGGCTCATGGAAACAGATACCACGAAAACAGAGAGCTCCGAGTCAGCCCTGCCAGGAACCCAAGGAACGAAACCAACTTGGGGTCAGGGATGGTGAAAGGAAGGATTATCAGCCCCACCAAGATGGTGCCTCCTGGGGAGGGTTGTCCTCACCCCAAGGCAGGACAGTGAGGGCACCGAAAAACCTCCCCCCAGATTCTTGGGTAGTGGGAATCTGCTCCAGACCCCCCTGGGCCTTAATCTCCACCTTGCCCCGGGTCTGCACTCTGTGCCATTTTTTGGTTTTCCAGGTTGGGTTTTCCCTGAAGGGTCAAAACTCTCATTCTCAAAGTAGGTTGAGGAGCAACACCAGACAACGTGTGTGTTTATAACAAAAGGCCAGTGGAGACAGAGCATTTCCATCCCACCTGGAGAACCCACAGGAATGCAGATTACAGCCCTCAGCAGGGCAGGGACAGGGCTCCTTCCACGGCTTCTGCTGCCAGGAGGGAACCATCACGTGTAACCCAACTTGGCCCTGCAATTAAAACAAACCCTGTGAGCTACATTTTTGAGTTCAAAGTCCTTTAAGAACATCAAATTCAGGCGCAGGAGTTTGACCCCCTTGCTTTGCTCTGTGTTCTGTTACACCGGGTGAGGAGCTGGCCATAATTCCTCAGTTGTAAATGTATTTAATGCAAAATCCTGTAACTAAAGAAGGGCCCACTGGGATATTTCGGGCCAGAGCAGCACATTTTGGAGTTTTGTGCTTTGAAGCTCGGGCAAGTGGAAGGAGGAAGTTCATTTTTTGTGCTGAGCAGAAAGAAACCACGGAGGGTGAATCCCAACCTTGTTTTGAGCTGAAAGGTTCCCATGGGCTGATACCACTCAGCTCCTGGTTGCCTAAGAGCAAACAATCTGCAAGGATCCCTCCACCCGGTGCCGTGACAAATGCAGGGAAGTTTGGTGTGTAACTGGGAAGGGCTGAATGCCCAAAGGGTGGCTCAGACCCTGGAGAACAGTATAAAAGTGCTCCAAGCCCAGAGCTCTTCAATCCACTCCTCTTGGCTTCTCCTTGGTGCTCAACTGGGTAAGTCTGACTTAAAAGCCACTTTAATAAGAGTTATGGATTCATGGAATGGTTTGGGTTGGAAGGGACTTTAAAGATTGAGATTTACAGAATCATTGAATGGTGGGTTTAATGTGCTTATGTCTGAGCTCTTCACATGGCTTTGCCTGTTATTAGTAGAAGGTTTCTTTTCATTAAATTAAAAGGATTCTGGTGGTTCTTTCATCCTGTCAGAGTTTGGAGGGAAGGGGATTTAGAGGGGAAGCATCAGACTTCAAGAAATCATGGAATGGTTTGGGTTGGAAGGGACCTTAAATCCCATCTCATTCCACCCCCTGCCATGGGCAGGGACACCTTCCACTAACCCAGGTTGCTCCAAGCCCTGTCCAAGCTGGCCTTGGACACTTCCAGGGAAGGGACATCCATGGACTAACCTGTGCCAGGGTGTCCCCACTCCCAGGGAGCAATTTCTTTCTAACACCTAATCTGGCACAGCCTAATCCATGGCAGGCCTTGGAAGGAGAGGATCCTTGAGGTCCCTTCCAGCCCAAACCACGCTGGGATTGCAAGGGTAACTTCTTGCTTTGACTACACAAGGCTCCCCTTTGCCAACCCCCTGTTCTCCCCCCTCTATGTGTGTGTTCCAGACTCAATCCCAGCCAGCAGGATGTCCTTCTACAGGCAGCTGTGCCCTTCCAGCAGCTTCTCTCCCTGCGAGGTGACCTGTCCCCAGCCGGTGGCCGACGCCTGGAGCCAGCCCTGTGTCACCTCCTGCGGGGACTCCCGGGCCGTGGTCTACCCTCCTCCCGTGTCCATCGTCTTCCCGGGCCCCATCCTGAGCTCCTGCCCCCAGGAGAGCGTGGTGGGCACCTCGATGCCCGTGGGGCTGGGAGGTTCCTTTGGCTGGGGGAGCTCTGGGGTCGCTCAGAGCTCCTTGGATTGCGGCGCTTCCCTGTACGGCCGATATTCCTACCCCTCCTATTCCCGCTACTCCGCTTACCGTGGTGGGAGCTGCAGGCCCTGCTAAGCCCTGCAGGGATTCCCTGAGGAATCAGAGAACCAGCAGGGATGGGAGCAAAGTACCAGTCCATGAGGGAGCAGAGGGACGTGGCTTTCCAAGGGGCAGAAGGACTCGGCCCCAGCAAACCCCTCAGGCCTCCTCTGTGCCCTCTGGATGATGTTCTGCTGCCGTGAAGTCCTTGCCCTCCCTCAATTAAAGCTGATGTTGCATCGCAACAGCATTTGTTCTCTGGTTTGTTTCTCTCCTCATCTGAAAACTATTGGCCAGTGGTGCTCAAGTGGTGCCCTCGGTTGATGGGGATGGCCCTAAAATCTTCTGTGAGGATTTTTGGTGAGAGGGGTGGGATAAGGCATCAGGGAGGACCTTCTGGATCTCTGCAGCTCCCTGACAGGAAGGGGAGCCAGGTAAGGGTCAGGATCTTCTCCCAGGTAATTGCACAGGACAAGAGGGAATGGCCTCCAGCTGTGCCAGGGGAGGGTCAGGTTGGGCATGAGGAGGAATTTCCTCCTGGAAAGGGTGGTGAGGCCTTGGCAGGGGCTGCCCAGGGAGGTTTGGAGTCCCCACCCTGGAAGTGTCCAAGGAAGGACTGGAAGTGGCACTGAGTGCTCTGGGTTGGGGGACAAGGTGGGGATGGGGCACAGGGGGGACTCCACGGGTTGGGAGGGCTTTTCCATCCTAAATCATCCTGGAATTCTGCAATTACATAATTGCACTGGCTTGTTGGATCAGAATTCCTCTCCATCCTCTCACCAGCTTACAAAGAGAAAGGAGTGACCTCAATGTTTTTTACTACATTTTTAAAGTGTATTTTCTGCTTAAAGGCATCTGCTAATTGCAAATGCCTGTGCTGGGAATAGATTTCCATTCTATCCTGGGAAAGCCTTGGCTTCAGCTCCTCCATGGAGATGACCCAAACAGGGAGAAGCAGTGCTTTTCTCTGGCTCTTAAGAGCATTTTTTTTAATACAGAAAGGCCAAAACTCTCATTTCTAAAGTATCTGAGTACTTGTGGCTGGAGGGAAACCATCCTTGGTGACTAATGGGAATTAAATGCAGCATCTTGAACAGAAATAAGGGATCTCAGAAGGCAGAGAGGGGTGGAATGAACACAGGTCAAGTGCTGTGCAATAGGGCTTTTAATGGGCACAAGAAGCAAAGCCAACAGTCACAATAACACAGGGAACACACACAGACACTTCAGGACCTTTCCAAATCACAAAGCTGCTGCATTTCCTACATGAATTTCTACTTTCCTTAGCGCTGCCCTCTAATTCCAGCTCCGTATCCATTGGTTTTTCTGCCGCGTTTTCCACATCCTGGCAACCGAACTGCCGGGAATTCTTTAGCAGGGACCGCAACTCCCTCGGCTGCAGGTGCTGTACCGGCGGTAAAGGTACGGGCTGCAACTCCCCCTTCCCAGGACCGAGCAGCCCGAATTGTAGGATCTGCTGGAATTACACGCCCCCATAACCGCTGGCACCTCCAAAGAGGATGGAGCCCCTCAAACCAGCAGGATTTCCGTACCCCCTGTAACCCAGGGAGCCCCCGGAGCCAAAGGAGCGGCCGACGATGCCCGGGGGGCTGCAGCTGCCCACCACGCTTTCCTGCGGGCAGGAGCTGAGGATGGGCCCCGGAAAAGTCAGGACGACGGGTGGGGGGTAAATCACAGCCTTGGAGTCCTCGCAGGAGGTCACACACAGCTCGTTGCAGGCGTTGGCCACGGGCTGAGGGCAGCTCACCTCGCAGGGGTTGCTGCAGGGCAGGCACAGCTCTCCGCAGTAGGACATGGCTCTGGGAAGTGCAGGAGTGGGCTTTTTTATTCCCCAGAGATTGGTCTAAAAGACAGGGAGGAGATCAAAATAACATCGGGTGCCCAGCTCCTTCCGTCCTAAAAAAAACCAACTTACAACGAAGCTCTTCTATAGCGAGGCTGGACGAGCAGAGGAGAGAATTTAAAGCCCTGTGGGCTCAAGGCAAAGTGTCTACAAAGGGATCTTTAAGTCTCTAAGTCTCTGATCACCTCCCCATAATCCACGCCTCTCAAAGCCCGGTTTGCAGCAGAGATCTATTTGAAGCCACCCAGCTTGGCAGAGTAACAAAGCTCAGCCCTGAAAAGCAAAGACCTAACAGTCAAAAGAGGAAGCCCAGACTTACCCGATCCACCGGAGAGGGAAAGTTTGGAGATGCAGGTAAACAGCCCTGAGCTGCGAGTGCTTTTATACAATCCCTCCGAGTGCCTGGAGGGTAAAAGGCCTACTTATAGGTGATTATCTCATTTACTTGCAAATCGGAGGTTGTTCCTTGGCTCGTTCCTCTCCTGCTGTAATTATCTCTCTGAGGGGTGGTTGTTCAGAGCCCCGGAAGGCAGATATCCATCTGACAGGTGATTTAGGCTTCTCCCTGATCACCGGCTTGCAGCGACAACGCAGGAATCGCAAAATCGCTTAGGCTGGAAAAGACCTCCAGGTTCCTCAAGTCCAACCTTTGAACCGTCCCCACGTTCCAAACCGCCAGAGAGGAGGGTTAGGGCAGAAATTAGGAAGGAATTCTTCCCTGTGAGGGTGGGGAGAGGCCCTGACACAGGTTATTCCCCATCCCTGGGAGTGTCCAAGGCCAGGTTGGACGGGGCTTGGAAGCACCCTGGGCTAAGTGGAATGAGATGAGCTCTGAGGTGCCATTCCATGTTCCCTTCTCCAGGCACAAACTCTCCCCGTGATTTTCCTGGTGAACTCCACCCCCAAGGTGGCTGCAAATGCAAACCACCGACCCTCACAAGTGGGGGGATTTACAGCTCTGAGCCTGCACTTTGCCACTGGATGGGGCAGGAGGAAGGAGAACCCATCCCCTGCCACAATTCCTTCCTGCCTCTGCCTGTTTACACCCTTCCCAATTTGAGCCCTGTACTTTAGGCATGGATTAAGTTCTGTGGGATGGTTATGAGGAAGCTCCAGGCAACAATTTAGCCGTTGTTGTTTTAATTTTTTTATTTTTTTTTCGTTGCCACAGAATCAAGGACTTCAAAGCACCTCTGTGTGATTAACATGTTGTAGATACAGAGCTCGAGTGTAATAAAATTAATTACATGTTGTTGCCCTTTTAGGTTCTTGATAGTGAGTAATAGTTTCACCTTAAAACTTGATCTCATCATCCTCCTGAGCAGACCCTTCCTGGCTCTGCAGGTCATGGTTGTTTTATTTGACACAGAAGGCCATTTATTTTCTTTGCTGCACTAAAATCAAAGTGTTAAATGTGCAAACCTTCTGGTCTTTATGTGGTGTAAATCTGCTCTATCAACTGAAAAATACATAAGAGGATTTCCCTGCATAAAATCTGAGCTTAAGCTGTTAAAAAAAAAACCAAATTGAAACAAGCCTTGTAGTGGGATAAACTCAGATCTTCTCATTAAACATATGTAGCACAAATTCCATAAGCCTTCCTTCTCCAGGAATAATTCTGCTTGTTATATCATTGTGTTAAGAATTTTTAATTCACCGTGGAAATTGGGAGCCCACGGATTTATTTACTCTCCAGCTCTGCTTCCAGCTGGAGGATCTGGGTTTCAACACATTGACCAAGGTATTTAACTCGAAGTTTTCAAAATCTAAGGTGGACTTTTGCCCATTTTCTTTGAAAAGAAATGTTGTGTTTCTGGACATTCTGCAGCACCTCAAGATCTTTTTGGCCCCCATGGAAGTGCAATTCCCCCTTGTCCTGTCACTCCAGGAGGGGAAGGGAGAGTTGAGTCTCTGTAAGCCCAAAATGTGCAGTGCAGTAAATTATAAATCAGTAAAAACAATGTCCAGGAGGGAGTGAATTCCTGCCACTCTCCCACACGGTTCAGGTTCCTCCAAGGAATCAGCAGCAGAATTAGGATTAACAATTATGGACTCATTATCTTATTACACAGCCTGTAAATTCCAGTAATTGGTAGAAGCTCCAGTTGTGTTGGACACCCTGAAGGGGCAGATGCTGCACAAACACAGGCCCATGAGATATTTCCTGAGGGCTTTTCTCCCTATAAGCATAAAATAACAACATGTGGAATGGCAGGAGACAGATTTATAGAACCCCTATAAATGCAACCAGTCCAGTTACATCGAACAATTAAGAGGAGCAAGAACAGCAGTGGCTGTTGGGAAACAATGCTAATCCTGATTTTAACAGCATTAGCAGTGCCTTTGTCACCATTTACCTTCCAGTCTTTCCTCCTCTGGTCAGTGGTTTGGTCTCCAGCGCTTCTGAACCGACAGGGAAAACAAATGAATAATTTATAGCGTGAAAATGCAACTTTAGGGAGGAGTTTCCAGTAGCTTTGAGGGTGGTTTGCTGGTTGCTGCCAGGGGGAACTGGTGTTATAATGGGGGAAATTGTGTTGCTCTTCCGAGTCAGCTCCCCATCCGTGACCCCCTGAGCACCTTGGGAAGGACAGGATAGACAAGCTGGGGAGGATTTGGCCCATGGAGTTGAAAAACAAGCTCAGAGACTTCAGGTTTAACTCATGACCCATCAACTGTAAAGCTTTCAGAGCTTCCAGTCACAGCCTCCTTGGGGAAACATCACCAGTGGCACCTTTTAGAGGGGAATTAGTCAACACTGGGATGTCTCACTCCAGCAGTTGGGAGGGTGGCAACCTGCAGAGCCCTGCAGCCAGAGAGCCATCAGTGGGAACATCTCCTGAAATGGCTGTTCTGAGCCAGGCTGCTGCTCCAGGGATCTCCCAGTGACTCACCATCATCTGGAGGTCACTTTGACACACTGGCAGCAGACTGGTCAACAAGGAGAAAAAGAGGCTTTTTTTTTTAAGCACAGAAACACAAATATTCTTTGTGACGGAGGGTGATGAGTAATCCCAATAGTTCAGATTGAAATAGGGAAATTTAGGGTAAATATTAGGAAGAAATCCTTCCCTGAGAGAGTGGGGAGGCCCTGGCACAGGTTACCCAGAGAAGCTGTGGCTGCCCCATCCCTGGAAGTGTCCAAGGCCAGGTTGGAGCAAACTGGAATAGTGGAAGGTGTCCCTGCCCATGGCACGGGGGTGGAGCGAGCTGATCTGTCAGGTCCCTTCCAACCCAAACCAGTCTTTGATTCCATCTACCTTTTATGCAAAACAAAGCCTTTTGGTTCATTAGCAGGTCTTACTGACTCAGGGTTTGGCAACCCAAGGGCACTGCCTGGAATATTTGCAGGGCTGATTCATGTGCAGAGATTAAATCTTGCTGAGGGCCCTGTGAGTGCTGTGCTCGCCCAAATGGTGTGTGGTGGATCATTCCTGAACTGCTTTTGCAAATGTTGCTTGCTCCGAGTGGAATAAATGTTTACACTTGTCAATCTTTTTAATCCACACTCTTGGTATTAGTTTTTGGATCAGGTTGTAGCCAAAGCTGTGTTATTGGATTTGTCTCAGGGCAGCCAAACCTTAGAACTTCTCTGTGGTGTTCAGGAGATCCTGTGATTTATGTCAGGCATTTCAAAAGATACCAAAGCTGAGTCTAACCCAGGCTCCCCCATGGGAGCAGATCAATCCTCTTTAGGGCAGCAATTATCTTTCCTATCAAAAGGGACATAATAACCACCTTCTTTCCATAAAATAGCAGCGATGGCCAAAAGTGATGACAACCAGAAGAGCTGGGAAAGTGATTGGAGCTGCCTTGGGTTGTAAACAGAGACAGGGATGGAGGGGAGGGACCGGCAGGGGCTGATCCATGGGCTGATCTTCAGGAACAGGAGCTGATGAAGACCTTGCAGAGGTTGTGGTTGTACCAGGAGCTCTCCTGAGCGTGTGGTTGGCAGAAAGGGCTCCAGACACCGATCCAGGTCACTCCATGGTTGGTTTGTGGTGACCTCAGCTGGGGGAACGTGCTTAGGCCTGCCTGGAGCAGGGACCTAAGCCAGCCTGGAGCATGGACCTAGACCATCCTGGAGCACAGACCCAGACTTACAGGTAGGTTTTGCAGTCCCTCCCTGCCAGGCTGGGTCTGAGTCAGCCTGAGCTGATTCCACAGGAGGGAGCAGCTCCAGCACAGAACTGGGCCAGCAGAGCAACAGCCCAGTTGGGTCCTTCAGCCCCACCAACCTCACCCCATCCCCTCAGGAGAGACCAGCCTGCCCCCAGAGATTGTCCCTCCAGGCTGGGAAGGGGGCTGGCAAGAAAGAGGAACCTGCAAATCCTCTGACATTTATTAATTGCTCCTCCAGACCTTCCCAGCCACAGGAAGACAAATTCCTGGCTGCTGCCAAGTGTCTTCACAGTGGGAGCTTTGGTGGTTTATCTGCAACTGGTTTGTGGCTCAGGTTTTGCTGCTTATAAAATTATTATTTTATTAATAAATTTATTTTATTTTATGTTAAAAAAAACACCCATCTTGTTTTAAAATGCTGCCACCTGGAGAGTGAACTTCAGGAGTGACTGAAATGAGGGCTCCAAATGTATCTTGTGAGTCCCTCTTTTAAACTCAAGCTTTATGTCTTGATTATGAGCATGAAAGGCATCATAAAACAAAAGAAGAGCAACTTTATAATGAAAATAATCACTTTACTAAAAAAAAAAAAATAAATATCTTGAGAAGATATAGAAATAAACGTGTGTGAAATAATGACCTTTTTCTTCACCAGTTATTACAGAGGCTCGGGGAATGTAACCCAAATAATATATTATTAACATTAAATTAACATACCACGTTACAGGTGTAACACATCAGTGAGTGTCTGGGAAGCAGCCTGGCTCCCTTTGTTCTGAGGAAGTCTTGGGATGTTTCTGGGTGGGTGTAATTGCAGGAATAACATGGTA